GCGCGCGCGCACACACACCCACACACACACAGACAGCCTCTCGAAAATATGCGTTTTTGCTAGCAACGCTATAGCGCTGCACTGCAAAAACGCATAAAAAGTTTGGGCTGTCGAGTTTTGCTGAAGGATGAAGACTTATGAGAGAACAGTGCTGTTATGATAACAGCTATAGATTCAGCTGAAACGGTGCAATAAAGAGGAAGCTGAAGTACTGAAAACATCTTTGAAATATCTCCCTCTCCCAATGCGCATAAATTGCTTAGCTTTTTGACTTCCCGACTGTCTCTGTTAGTTTCACAAAGAGCGAAAATTTTTATAAAAGTGTATTTCTAGCTATGCTGAGTGTGCATCATTTTGTGCAAGCATGACTGAGCCTCTGAAACTGATAATGTTATCCAGCGGTAGTTATGGATCGTCGTTGAATATGCGGCCGTTTGATTTGTCTAATGCGATGGGTTCGAGCAAGCAATTCCGATAATGACGAGGCCGATACACTTTGCTAATGAAAACTATGATTTAATGAAACTCACGCCAGTGATCTGCACTCGCATCTCTCGAAATATGTTTTTTCTAAATACGAAATACGAGTAATCAAACAAAAAAACCGCTTGACTTAAAATTAATTTAAATCCTCCCTCATAGTTGTTCTCTATGAGAAGGAAGGGCACCTAAAAGCAGCTTGAGTGGTGGAAAATGTCAATAGCAAGCACCTGCTGTCAAGGCCGAGAATTGCCTACAAGCAATTTGATGTCAGATTTGACACTCTAGCAGACGCCACTGTCAATTTACCACCGAAACGAATAAATGAATCCTGGAAGAATTAGTTACCCTTCCGACGAAGTCAAATCCTCCACCTGCTGTGCGACAACAAAACTATTTACTGGCCGTTAAAAAATGTCAATAAAATTTCATGATAAGCACAAAATGCTTATTTCATTCTCATCCCCATAGATTCAAATTACAAAATCTTTTTTTTTAGAATCTTTCAATCTTATAAAATCTTTCAATCTTTCAAAATACAAGATGTGCGAGAAGAACAATAATTAGCAGTTCTTTTCTTGCAATTCTCACTTCCTGCGACCCTCATCTTCCTTGCGTTCGGTTCAGGTAGGTCTTCCTTTCCTCCTCCTATTGTACACAATTTTTTTTTTTGTTTTTTATTATCACTTTTCCATTAATTTCACTATCATATACATTCGTATTTTAAGCACTCTGTATTTTAAATGCTTTCAATTAATTAACATCACAGTCTTTGCGCTAACAAGGCGTAGCTGTGGTGCTGAATGAAAATGTTTGCGATTTGATGGAGTGGAAGTTTACTGTTCTGTTAACTTATATACCTATATGTATCATATTCCTATCAGACTCTATGTGCATCCATATATCGTTACAAACTCCACTGCAGAATGGAATCAGTCTGCATCTTTCCAATTTCTCATTATCGAGGAATGGTGCTGATATACAAGAATGAGGCAAACTACTGTCGTCGGAGCGCAAACAATCCGTTTAGCCAGGAATGAGAGGTGTGTTGCATGTGGACGTGAGAATGCTTGACGAGGTAGTAAATTAGTGCTCGAATGTCCTTGGATAAAGCAGAAATAGAAGCCACCTATGACTGGAAACCAAGTAGACTTTCTTGTACCTTCTGGGGCGCAGTAAATGCAGCTAAGGTCAGATGTTGGTGAGAAACGGAAGCATGAATTAGTAAGTTGGGGAGGACGGGAAACGAAAAACGGTGATGTTCTGAACAAATTTTTGGACAGTTGGGAGTTTACAAAATATCATACATGTCAATATTTTCCCTGATATTTATAGTCTGCTTTAACTGTAACACTTGGAACAGCGACTGCGACGAATTTTCATCGGATGGTTTGTAGACTGTTTGTTATTTTAAATGTGAAGATGCTTTTTTCCTTCTGTGGATTGCTGCATGTATTGCTGATTCCGCCGTTTTGATGAAACAAATCGCATAAGTTTGAGAAAGTGTGACAAATTAACAATGCGGATGCGTGTCCGGTTCATTACTTTTCCATGAATCGAGCATTGCAGCCTCTTGGCAAATGCCGTCGATGATTCATTCTTTGTAGGGTGTCTCATGAAAACAAACAATTTTTGCTTATAAAATCGATGTCATGATTATCAGTTGCTTTTCATCACTAGCAGTACTGCCTGCCGGAACTTATTTCAGGACTGAATCGGGGCAACAATTCTTTTCTCTCGTCTAACGATGTTCACGAGCCTTTCGCTCTAAGTAGCTCTCCTCCGAGATACTTGCACTTTCCAAAACTCGTACTGATGCATTTCCTCTATGCATCTCGAAGGGCATAACGGCTTGTTATGATATAATTTGCATAACTGCCGTATGTTTTCCTTAGTTTAAGCTGTTTGTGCATAATCTGTGTCGATTTTTTAATGCGTATTTGGATATATGCAAATTGCAAAAACGCATATTGGGAAGAGGCTGTCTGCGTGTGTATGTGTCTGTGTCTATATGTTCGCACTTTTTGTCACCCACTTTGAACTTGAGAACCAGAAAAGCTAGAAGACTTAAACTCTAGGAGTATGTGCCTATACCATACGCAACCCTCCCGTTCTAATATCATCCCCCGTGAACGCCTGGGTACCACGTATGGACGCATTAAAAAAATATGCAAATTTTTTGGTGGGAAAGCGATCTCGGCAACCAGACAAGATAAGGGGCTGAAACTTTGTAGGGATACTCCTTGTGCATGTACTAGCTAAAGATTTCAAATTCAGCCCCCAGGTATGCGTGGTACTCACGTAAGGGCGTATGAAGGTTTTAGTGGGAAAATTGCTAACTCGGATACCAAGAAAGCTAGAAAGCTGAAATTTTTGGGGGAATGTTCCCTATCGAAGTCCAACTCAAATATTTCAAATCCAGCCCCAAGCCATGCATAACACTCTCATAAGGGCGTATGAAATTTTCTACGGGACAATTACTAAGTCAGGAACCAGAAAAGCTAGAAGGCTGAAATTTTAGGGGAATGCGTGGTTTGCGTGGTTCTTCAGCCTTGAGGTATGCGTGGTTCTTACGTATGGGCACTTAAAAGTTTTGGTGGAAAAATTTCTTACTGTTACATTGAAATTGTGTATTTACTTTATGCAGAATTTATGGCGATTCACGCTAGTGACCGCAAAAGGTAGGTATAAAGCAACAAACATTCATGTGGTTAATGACCTGAGTACTTCAAGTCCGGTGCTAAAACCCATGATCGCACAGGCCCGCCCAATGCGTTCTAGCCTGGGTTATGCGTTATTTATGTACCGGAGCAAATTTGTCAGGCTGCCCAGTGTAAATGGCGACCAACACTAAAAAATCAGATTACAAGTAACATGCCGTCAGAATTCGTGTAATGACAGCTGATCCAAGTAAATACCAGCGTTGTTTGTGTAATGCTCAAGTAACGCATATTCCCTATCGGTGCCCATCCAGCAATCTAAGTAACGACCGTTTCTTGGTGCAACACTTGAGCATTTGCTCTGGATTACTTGTACTGGCGGGCTATTGTTGCACCCAGTACAAGTAACGCCCGGAAGTTGTTCAAGTAATATCGCATGATCGCTCGTGTAACGAACGGGCAGGGCTGGTCTTGCCGTCGCGGGATAAAAACTGTGCCACCGTGGGACGCGACGGTTGTTGTTTAAACAAATACATTATATATACACTCATCGTGCTTCACTGTAGCAAGCATAGGCCAATTCCCAATAAGCCAATTCAGTCTGCATGGCACTGCATGTTAATGCAGCAACATGTAAGAAATGCGTGGAGCTAGGTTTTAAAACTGCATGGATTATTTGGAGTTACCAACCACTGGCTCGCTGCTACTCAAAGTGAAAGTGGTGCTGGTCACCAGCTGTTAGCTGCACTCCCGGTATGTGTGTGTGTGGAAAGACTTGAATTTACTGTAAGCATGGCGCAGGGGATTCCTTTTCCTTTTCGATTTGTTCATTCTTTTCAACGGTAGACTGGTACTGGTACATGCTAGGGAGTCAAATCCGTGATTAAGATGCTCGTAAGCAGTTATCGAGATGAGAAGCTATCGAAAACTTTGCCAGCGATGACTGCATTTGCTAAGACTGATTCCCAAATGCCTGTACCCCCAACGAACAGCGAATATGGGGAGGTCTTGCACTAAGTAAAGGGAGCAACGCTAAAGTTTGTCAGCTGTAATCCAATGTAAGTTTGACAGCTCACTCGACTATAATATATCTGACGCCATTAGTTCATTCTTACACCGTTAAAAAAAGAGAAAAAAAGAAAAAAAATTGGAAAATTGAAGCGGTTGCAAATTTAATTTTCAGGAAGAGAGAAAACTTCTTAATTTTGGTTCCAAATCACCTGAATATTTGATTGTAAACTAAAATTCTTCTGCAGTGTTTGCGAGCCAAGAGTTAAAATCATGCTGATACTGCACTGCGGCACATTGTACCAAGCCGCCATCTAAATCCGCATAGTGCATATTGCATATGTGTGTGTCTGTGTACGCTGATATATGAGCGTAGGTGCAATAAAAGCGTAGAAATGCACTCATTTTTGAAGTTCGGACTTCGATGAAACTCCTTTTGGTGCAGATCGATTGCCTAAATGCACTGCTCACTTAGTGGGATGTTCCATTCTATCACGTTCTATTTCTTTTAAATATTCCTCTTCCCACCAGTGTTTCACAGACCATGTCTGCTATCACATTTTCTTTTCCAATCGGCCTCAATTTTTGCGTTTTTCTCAATTTTCACAGCAAGCTAATTTATTGCTGCGTCTTAGAAAGCAGTGCTACCCCTTCAGCAACACAATATTGAAACTTATGACGGACGACTGCAAAACGTTGTCACTGACGTGAGCGAGCGCTGGTTGTGACGGAGAGAACGACTGAGCGAAGAATGCTTAGTGTGTCTCTTCGTGGTCGTATAAATTCTCTGTTAGATGAGCGGTGTGCAAGATACGATTGCGGTCATGCGAGAAAGTAAAATCGTGCAGACAGAGCATGTTGCTCGCCTTACCGAAAACAGGCGGGCGTAGCGTATTAGTGAATGATATTCACAAGAAAGTAAACGACTACTTGGACAACTCTACAAAAGGTGACGCACCTCGAATAGGCGGTGAGCGCTAACTTAAAGCATGCAGTCCAAGGTCCTCGCATAGCCGCGTCCAGTGCTCCCGGATGATGTTCCAGTAGAATCACTAGCACAGGATATCCCATACAGATTGTCTGGAAGGGGGG